ACCATTAGATATACTACAGATATACTACAGATGCTTCATAGCCCTTTCATTTTTAATTTCACCTAAATTAACAGAGGAGATCCTGTTCTCTTCAGTATCATTGGCTGTGTCCAAATAAAACACAAAAAACTCTTAAACTCATCCAGTTTAAGGAGAAGAGTAATTTTTACGAGAAGTTCTGAGCAATTATGAACTTATGAACGTAAGGCATAACTGTGAACTGAATGGTAATTAGGCTTGACAGAAGAATGAAGCTATTACCTGCAGGCTACTGTGGTTTCTAGAACGGCATCATGGGTTCACTAAAAACTAGTCTTGGAAAATTTGAAAAGATGAAAAAACATTCCATTTGAATGACGGCTTCCATCAGATGTCTTCCCCTTACTAAATTGGATGCCTGATACAACACTTGAACTGTCTATCAGTATGTCTATAATAATCAAAGCTTAGATTGTTCAACCAGCCTGGCAGGATCATTCCAGAAGATGAAACTGTAGAACACGAATCTCAGATTACTGGTTAGTGTAATTACCTGCATAGCATTCTTGTTAGTTGCAATGTATGTCATTTAATTAAAATTAAAATGCGGCCATCGAAAACGAAATACACTATTGATAGATCGAGTCCCAAAATTCAAAGCTGCATTCACACCTTTCAAAAAAAAAACCCACAAGAAATTTTTTTTTCTTGCTGACCAAAATAGGCAAGCGTAAATACTCATGAATGTTAAAATGCATACTGTCTGGAATTGGCTACTGGGTTTCCAGGAAAGATCCTACCGAGGGAAACACTGATATGTTGTGTTAGCAATCAGTCTCTTTACTTCCTCTTATTAATCATGAATTTGAATGAATTTTTCGACCTTTTTTTCTGCAAAATTGAATTATTAATCTCGAAATATCGACTTTATTCTCAAAATGATCGACACTATATTTTTTTTCTTGATGTGGCCCTAATACTCCATCGTACTTCCTGAAAATTTTGGATAACGACCAACTCACATGTCACATGGAGGCGGTGTCCGGCCAGCAGCAGGATGCACTGAGGGAATAAAAAGAGGGAGGGTGAGGTGAGCTGCATCTGACAACAGGCTGAAAGGACGCACAGGTGCATCAAAGGTAAGACACTGCAGCTTAGGTGAGCAGGACAGAATGAAGAATTAGGCTGCAGTCTGAAAAGTGCATGTATTGCATTCTTTTCTCTAACAGCAGACTGTAGCATTTTAAATTTTAGCAATTTAACGTTCAAAGTTTGCAAGAGCTACATTTTCTTTTTGATGATTTTAATTTAATGATATATATATATGCGATTATAAACAATGTGGCTTTTATGCTCGTTTCAGATGAAGTGGTTTGTAGTCGCTGCCCTTGCTGTGTGCGTCCTCGTACCCGCCGCTCACTGCGCATCCGAATCAATAGGTGTGTATTGTCTAAAGGCCTTTTTTTTCATGAAATATTTTGAATTCACTGTTACACTGAATTTGTACTTATGGGAATCTGAATGTCCTGTTTTTTCACCCCTTTTTTCATCCAGCCTGGTGTTATCACCTTCCATCCTGCAGTAAGTACCCAATATCTCCATTATCTATTATATGTTGCCCACTGAGTGACCCCTCCTCGGTGACTTTACGTGTTCTTTCTGCTCATAGATGACACAACCTGGTCAACAATTTCCCCGAAATATTGCAACGGCACCCGACAGTCACCCATTAACATCGTCTCAGCATCTGCTACACCAAACGCCAATCTTACTGAATTCACTTTTGTAAAGTATGATGACACCTCGGCAATGACATCCATAGAAAATACTGGCGACACAGGTAAGCCCGGGTTTATGGCTTAGTGCTTACAAAAGTGTGTTGTTGTGGGTTGGTGTTTTTTTTTTATCTTCTTGTTTCAAAACATATATTTCGACCTAGTTTAACAAAAATAATAATCATCATCATCATAATAATAAAGATAACTTGTCTTACTGGAATTTTTAGCGCCCTTCTCTTTTCTACAATTAAACGCACCCCCTTTGCACCTGAACATTCCTTCTTACTCCTCACCGGTTAGATGTAACCTCATTCTGTTTTTGTTTTTCCACCTTCTTCTAGTCAAAGTGACCCTTAAGAGCGGAGTTAAGATTTCAGGAGGGGACCTGTCCGAGCAATACGACAGCCTGCAGTTCCACTTGCACTGGGGCAACGGCTCCTCTGTGCCCGGCTCAGAGCATACAGTGGATGGAAAGCGCTATCCTATGGAGGTACAGATTTATTTAAAAAAAAAAAATCATGTTATTTTGGGTGATGCTGCTGTGTTTCTTCGATAAATTCATATTAAAATTGTAAATAAAATAAAATAAGCAAGCAAACATCTGTATGATCTTTATGAATTTATGTATTTTCCCAGCTTCATATTGTGAACAGCAAGTCATCCTACAATGGGAATACAAGTCTAGCCGTCAAAGATCCCACTGGACTTGCAGCGCTTGGTTTTTTCATCGAGGTAAGAGAAGCAGCGCACGAGATAATGTAATGTTATTCAGTATTGCAACCTCACTGCATTTTGGTGAGGTGTTGTCCCTTGTTCTGAGCTGTGAAAAACAATGAAATCAATATATATATATATATACTTTTTTTCCAGGTAATGTCAGGCAACTCAACTGGCCAGCCGGATAGCTGGCGCAATTTGACCTCTTACTTGGCCAACATCACACAAAAAGGTGACATTTTTTGTGTGGAAAACCTCCTCTCCTCTTTCTGACTCTAAATTGTGTCACCCATAGTTCCTTCATGTAGGTCTTGTTTCTGTCCTCAGGCCAGAAAGTTTCAATTGCAGCCGGGTTTTCCCTGAACGACCTGCTCGTCGGTGTGAATCGCACTCAGTATTACCGCTACCTTGGATCTTTGACGACCCCCACTTGTAATGAGGCGGTGGTCTGGACCGTTTTTAAGGAACCGATTAAAGTCAGCAAAGATCTGGTAGGTGTTATTTCATTTCTTTCTTCTGTCTCTTAATTATCATTGCTGCGAGCACAGATGGTCTATAAGTGGTTCATGAAGCTAATTGGAATATCATCACCAGATTGACCTCTTCAGCACCACACTGCACTTCAACGACAGCAGGTCACAACTCATGACAAACGTCTACAGAAGCCTGCAGCCTGCACAGCCAGTGTCAACTCAGAGGGTCAGGGCCTCTGCCTCCTCAACCTGCTTCTCCCTTGGCCCGCTACTTCTCAGTCTTGCACTGGGCTGGATTTGGAGCTAAAATAGAAAGAGAACGTCATCGTCAACTCGTTGCCTCACTTCAGGACATTCGTTCTTTCCCCCATTTAACTAAAACTGACCTTTGCTGATTTTTAGTGTAGCTCTCTGTGTTTGACATAATCACGAAAAGTGTGAAGAACAATTTTTTAAGGTGAAGGCTACCTCTGCACCCATGTTATCTCTCAACAATATCTCTTGATTATGGCTACCTGTGACAAAGCACTTACCTGTTGTCAGATTTGAGTCTGAATGCATGCACGCACCTCGTGCATGCAAAGTTTACTTTATGCAATGACATGCACAAGTTTTCATTTTGCGTGGCCAACATGGTGTGAACAATTAAGGCATGTTCCACATCTCTGTTGAGCTGCCAGAGCTAGGCGTGGGTGAGAAAGGGCTGGACCTGCACTGTCTACAGTGTAGTTCTGGTGGTTATGAAATCCAGCATTATAAGAATGTGTTGCTATCTGGTGACACGTTATGATATGCCTTGATGTTGGCACATGCAACTAGTTTAGTTTACCAGCTGATGATTGAAGGATATGGTAATTTTGTCTCTTTGTTATTTGTATTTATTTTAAACTATTTTAACCTTTCTTGCCTCCATTAGTGCAGCTACTGCTGCATTTGAGGTGCACCGTGCACTGTGCTAAAACCACAAAATGGAAAAAGAAAACATGCTGATTCATTTATGAAGTTTGTGTTTTGAAGGTTTTGTGTGTTACTTTCTCAGATGAAAAAAATTATTTATCAGTGATGCACATTGCTTATGTCCTTAACACTGTACTGTATTGCTTCAACATGAAGAAAACTGACTTTCCTGATCTTCTTAAATGGCATTTAAAAAATTTTTGTGAATGTTTGTGCCGCTTTACTCTCTTTTTATAAATTCTTGGAAGTTTCTGGAAATTTTGAAATGATACATAGCTGGCTGGAGTGCTTCATAGGTGCATTTGTTACACCTAACTAGGTCAAGCTGTCTGAGCTTTTGAGAGCTGTCTATTCTAGTTTACAAAATGTGCTTCAACAATGTATTTTAGAACAAAGATCCCTAGTTTGTGTAATGGTTAACTAGCCGTATTATCAGTGAAAGGTTGGGGTTGCAGTTAATTTGATTTTAACTAAGTGAAACATATTTTTATAACATATTTTTCAGGCCACAAGACAAGCATTCTTATCACTCTGCTCTTCTTTTTGTAATGGTGGTATTTGATGTCCTTGAGATAAGTAGGTTCCTGCAAACAGGGAGAGGTGTTCCTAATAATGCTATCATCAATCTGTAACTGAACACACAAACAGAACTGTCACTGGAGAATGACAAGTATTTAATCATTGAAAATGAATCATCTTGAATCTGAGCCAGATAAGACAACATGAGGTAACATGCCTTCACACTTGCGGCAAGGGCAGTGACGCCAAAGAAATATGTGTTAAAAGCAAAAGACAAAGCTACAAACCAAAACCAAAAGTATAAAATTCAACATTAGGACATTTTAATAGTTTCTGATAACTTATAACTGGTTTTGTTTAAGATTTCTTTCACAGAGATTTTACAAAATGTATATTGTCGCTTTACAGTAAGTCTATCTGACTTGAGCTGTGAAAACCAATGAAGGATTTGGTATGTTTCATCTGCAAAGTTAAGCATCTCAGCTTAACACAGCCCAGCCTTAAGAATATTCTACAATGACAGTTATTAATATCAATGTAAAACAACCAAAACATTGTACATTTGTAAAAACTACAAAAATATAAAAAACAAAATCTTCAATTTACCATAATCCAGATCTACTTGTGCACTATATATTTTGATATTTTAGCAAAAGCACCAAAATCTAATTATAAATAGATATATTTAAAGATGAAAATGACTTTTGCTGTTAAGTATGTTTGATTTAACTTTTTATCACCCCAAGCACAAGGCGGTTACATAAGACCTTGTTATGAAGAAGTAGCCTGTGTGCTTGCTTGTGGTGTTAAATGACATTTCTTTCTTCTGTAAAGCTAATTGTAATTCAATACAAAAATGTCGCAATATGTTTCAGATGAGAAACTGTATTTATAGAAACCCAGGGGGTTTAAGAGAGGCTTTTCTTGCCACTGGGACTCATTTTGAAACTATTGTGTAACTTTATGCGAGTATGATGACATAAAGTCATTCTATTAATAACTCGCTAGTGGAAAAAAGGGAGAAGTAAACATTGACTTAAGAAAATTACAAACTCATGTTTCTTATGATCTCATTGGTTAGCAGCAAAATAAAAATCAAGAGGAGAGAGCTGCTTCTCAGTGATGAATGCGATCCCAAGAAGAGGCAGGTGCATTTTTTGGGGAATCGAGGATTTGTTGGAGTGGAAGTTGAAGGAGGAGCTGGACATCTAAGCCAGTCAACACCGATGGATTTTGGTGTGACATCATCTTGGTTCAGGCCTCCATTTGTGAGCATCCAGTAGGAATTATCCTTGAAGAAATAGGTATTTCCTTAACAACAAAAAAAGAAGAAAAGAAAAAAGAAAAAAAGAACACGAAAAGCAATGCAGCTGTTATTTTGTTTCATCAAATTATGAATAAACCAACACATACAAACTGGATGCTGATTAAAAGGAGTGGAAGACAGCAGCACAGTGTAGTTTTTGTAACTACAAAGTAGTTATGTGGTTAGCTCCTGCACTTAATGATGTTATGAGGGCTCAGAAAATGTACTTCTAAATCCTGTCATTTCAAAAGCTCTCTTACCCTGAAGCCAAAGTTTTCAACAGCTTTATTAAAAATACTAAAATTACTGTACTTAATAAATACAAAAATTAAAAAATAGCCCTTTCTGGGTCAGCTGGGAGGCATCCACTGATTTTCAACAAATCACCCACCTGTTAAATTAGTCATATTTGGATTGTCATTCTAATATAAAGTATGCTTTGATGTGTTACTACTACTTTTCACATGAAGTAATGAAATAGGATATGACATGGCATTTTCTTGTGCAGGAATCTTTCCTTTATTCATTTATCTACTTGAATCATGTTGCATCTCAGTGTAAGATGTTATTTAGAACTTCTTATCTTAATCAGCGCTCTTCCACTCCTTTCTGTGCGTCATTCTCTTGAGCGTCTTGGGTGTGACAGCTGACAAAAGCTATCTCCCAAAATAACTTCTCTATCATTGTTGTGTATTTGTCTAGAGCAAAGGTGGACAATTCATTTTTTCCAAAGGGCAAAGTGAGAAACTGTACCAATAAGCTTAATCCTTATTGGTGCCCAGTTTCTCATGTGGCCCCTTGGGGAAATGAATTGCGCAACTCTGATCTCAAGTTTGTAATAGAAGATCATCACATATGTCTCCATTTTAACACAATGTTACCTTCTTGCCAGCTAATGATGCCATCGATATGGGCAGGCATTCCTTCCCATAGGGTGTTTTCCCGTGGATATCCTTGCTCTGGTTGGATGGTCCTCTGTCCATTCTCAATGTTTTCGTTAAACCTCCAAAACTCCCCTCCGCTGAACAGGTATGTTTTGCCATTATGAGCCCAGATGAAAGCAGCGTCCACCCTGTTCACTGTCTCACCCGACTTCTTCTTCATGCCCCAGTCAGAGAGAGGCCGAGGGTAACCGGCCATAGCCACTGTGTCCTTGAAGACCCAGTACTGAGATCCTGGACATGGCGAAAGCAAAACATAGAATATTTCAACAGAAAATCACTTAATGTGAGTCGGAACCATATCCTGGTGAATTCTTCGGTTTATCAGCAGCAGACCAAACTGGAAAGTACCGATAATACAGACCCAGTGATACAGGCAATGACCCAAAAGATACAGCAGGGGGTTTGAATGTAAAGAAGTGAAAATATTTGTCTGGGGCAGATCTGTTCAGGAGATTGTCTTCAGCTGCATTTCACTTAGCAAGGACAAAACTGAAGGCAGGAAAGACCAAATACAAAAACAGCAGCATTAAAAGCCTGGAACAGAAAGAAAACACCAGGACAAACTGGACCATATTGGCTGACTTTAAAGTTTAAAAATAAGTATTTTATTTATTATTATATTAATTTGTACATATTAAAAATAAATCCTCATTGTTTTAACACCCTTTTTTGTTCTGCCTCTTAAATAAAAACTTACAATCTGCACTCCAGTTGCATCTCAATTGTTTCATTTTCACATCTATTGTGGCAGCGTGTTGAGCCAAAATAATAAAAAATGCATCACTGTCTAAACACTTCTTGACCTAAATGACGTATATGAAAATATTTATATATGATTTAACATTTCACCCCCCACTCAAAAAAACCACCATGTTTAAAATATAACCGACGTGAGAAGTCACCCACTTCTGCCCCGTCTCGAAACGGCCAAAATTAGATCACCTGAGGCCATACATAACCACAAGATTTAGCTTCTCACCGATGAAGAAGATGATGCGGCTGTCGCTCTTTCTCTCATACACAGCATCGATCTTGTTTATTCCTTCTGGAAGGCCCATCCAGAAGTTTTTGATCTGAGCCGGATTTAAGGACACCAAAGAGCCATCTCGCTGGGTTCTCCAGAACTGTGCACCTTTTTGAAGAGAAGACACAAAAGAAACAACACAGATAAATAAATTTATTTATTATTTTTTTTTTTGACGAATGTGGAAAATTAATTGAATTGTATTTTTTATTCTGTGCAGCACAGATCCACTTTTTCATACCTTTAAAGAAGAAGACCTCTCCCCTAATGTTTCCTATAGCATCAAAGCCTCCCTGACACCGCTCTTGGAATGATGGATCAGAACTAGGAGAGAAAATTTAATCAAAATCAAGTTAAACTCTGCTTTTACTGCATTTGTTTGATAAATACACTAGAGGGCGCAGTGGGGCCAAGAATGCCACAGTGAGAGTCTTTAAGCTATCACTTAAATTAAATAGACTACTACCTTACGATTATATTCACAGAGATTTTTACCCCAAGCCTCATTCATCCAGGAACACACACATTCATACAAGTACGTTTTTTCTATACTTAAGTAC